AACCATACTGTCTGGGCTCCGTATTTTTAAAATTTTATTGAATTTATTGGGGTTGACATTGGTTAATAAAGTTAGGAAAATTTTGTCTACCTCCCTCTACCCCTCTTACCCTTTGCTAACCACCGTATAGTTTTTAAGATACAGTGGGGCCTTGACTTACGAGTGTCCCGACTAACGAGTTTTTCGAGATATGAGCCGTCTCTCAGCCGATTTTTTGCTTTGAGTTGCGAGCTAAAATTCGGGTTACAAGCCAGCTTCAGATACCCCACTGCTAGTTGGCAGAGAACGTCACAGTGAATGCCACAACATCAGCCCAGCATCACATGTCATTGTAATGGTGAAAATTGATTTGACATACGAGTAATTTGAGTTACGAGCTCTGTCACGGAACGAATTAAACTCGTAAGTCAGGGCCCCACTGTACTATGGCATATGTAAAATGAAACAGTGAAGAGACTAGTTTCAGAATCCAGAAAGAAAAACTTACTTTAAAGGAAACCTCAAACTTAAGCATATTTTGGTATACCAGATGGTCTTTTGATTGCCCATCCTCCACAGTGAGCATCCTTATTTGATAATGTAAACAAGGCGTTACCTGTAAACAGTGAATCTCTACATCAGGCCTTATGTTCACAGGTGCACACAGATATTGCCTTATAGGTTGTTTATGACCAGACTCTGTTCTCGTTGACCAGTTGCTTCCTTCTTAATGACTGGTGCTTGTGCTGAGTTAATGGTTCAATATACCCATCTTCCCTTTTTCTTAAACATCCCTTTTCACCTAGACACATCCAACAAACCAGGGTTTTGTAACCCATCTAAAAGGAGCTCACTTGTTCAAAGCTGTACGTTATGTGCATTTGTTTTCATATAGGCTTTTAATAAAAAGTAATCTCATTTAACAGTGCCTGCACAAAACCATTAGGATTTAAAATAGCAGAAATGATGAGCTATTGAAACAAGTTTTTATTCTCCATTAACTTTTCTCTTTTAAGCCTTTCTCTCTCTTTCTCGCCAATTTTTATTTGGAGTTGTTAAGAAAAATACTAACAGTGTCTTCTTATTTATTTAGAATTTTTCACCCACAAGTCTTTTTGGTAAAATCTCATTTGAGAAGAGAAAGTGAAGAAACAAGAAGGTTTATATTGACATGTGGCTCAAATTAGTTCAGAAATAAGGAATTGGGCTTAGAAAGCCTAAGTGACTTAGAACACTGAGGATATTCTTTTTTAAAATATGTACTTTTCATTGATTTCAGAGAGGAAGGCGGAGGGAGGGAGAGATAGAAGCATCAGTGATGAGAGAGAATCATTGATTGGCTGCCTCCTGCATGCATGCCACTGGGGATCCAGCCAGAAAACCAGGCATGTGCCCTTGACTGGAATCGAACCTGGGACCCTTTAGTCCACAGGCTGACACTCCTGAGCCAAACCAGCTATGGCAGGATATTCTTTTTCGAAGAGCTCAGTGTTCTAAGCTTCTCAGCTTCAGCACAAAAGGCATTTCAGCACATATGTGATCCAGAAGGTCAATCATACGAAATCCTATTTCCATTTTTTAAGCAATCCTTGGCAGTTTGCACATTTCTGAAATTGCAACTGGCATATTTCACAGAGAATTATCATCAATGCCTTTTCAAGGTCAAACATGCCCATCCTTACATTTCCAGCATTTGTATCCTATATATTAAATCATACTATATATTAAAGAAGGCGTTTGCAGACATGATAAAGAATTTTAATTGATTAGACTGTGTTCATTAATGTCACGTTGAATTTCCTCTACAACTTGACATAAATTGCATGTTAAAAATATTAAAATACCTGTGGAATTTAGATGAGGGTATCTGCTTCTGTTGTCATCCCTGAAACCCTAAAATGCCTGTGTGACCAGAATCTTGTTATGGGGTTTTAAAAAATATTAAAAATAAATTTCTTATTGGGAATGTTGAAGCAATTCTAAAAATATACTGTGAAGATTTCTATAATATAGACGATTATTATATATTTTAACATATTATTTTATGCCAGAACCTCAGGATACTGGCCACCATATGAACAAAATTAAATTGAATTTGGACATTGCGATGGTTACTGAGATGGGACAACTTGAGTACACACCGCCAGGCTTGTTATAAAACATGCACTTTAGTCTTCTCCTCCTGTCCAATCACCAAACATTTGGCTCCTTTGACATTTTTCTCTACAACCCCTCCCCCAACCATTCCAGAGACTGCTATGTCCTCATGCTGTACATGGGTTCTGCTTTTAAAAATGAAAGACATTTAAAAAGTTTCCACAATTTAGGAGGCTTTCCTAGTATTTTTTTCCCTTCCAAAGATATTTGCACTTTGAATTAGGCTTCCAGAAAAATATTTGAGGGAGATTATAGGAATCCATGGGAAGAGGTATTGATAGCAAAACACTACAGCATCCTTCAATTCCAGGCACATATAACACGTATGAGTACAATAATAAAATGGTGTTTGGTATATGATGAGCCAGGTGTGAGGCCTTTCTATGCAGGGTTAATCATTCATGTATTCATCAGTCATCCACACATTGTGACATCCCTTCTCCCACAATGGCCAAATAGCATATGCTCTTATCTGAGATACTATAGATCCCATCCTTTCCCAGCTACTCAAAGACATAATTACAATAATTTTCCTTTCCTTTCATAAATATTTAGTGTTTCCCCTTCTATTGTCATATTAGTATTTTAAATAAGGTGTTTTTCTTCTCTTGTTAAAGAAAAAACACTGGAAAAATTAGCTTTCACCATAAACCCTACTTCCTTCTTCAACTACCCTTCATGTTTTTTAAATATTTTTGAACTCAGTCTTTAAGGTAGTTCTTCATATTTTGTTTCAATTCCTTTCTTCCCACTTTTTCATGAACGCAATCCTAGTATGATTTTCCCCCCAGCCCTCCAAAGCAATTGCTCCAGTCAACAACACCAGTGTGGTAAAAGGCAGTGGTCAATTATCAGGCTTCAATACATTTAGTCTGTTACATCACACACACACTCTCTCTTCTCTAATCACTTTTGTCATTTTACTCAGAAATGTCACTCCTTTGTGGTTGTTCTCCTCTCCACTGCCTGTTCTTACTGGATTCTCTACTGTTCCTTTCAAGTAAGCAGTCAGGTGGCCCAAGGAACAATTCCTATTGCCCTTATCCTTATCTAATTTTTGGTCCTAGGTATTCTCAACTAGGCTCATGCTTGTTAGCTCTTTAGCATATGATGCTTATACACCAGCTTAGATCTCCATCATGAATCCTGGATCCAACCACCTATTCAGAATTCACCACTTGGATATCTAAAAAGGCTTACAAAATTGGCTTGCCAGAGCTGAGTTCCTATTTCCCCACCATTTAACCCAAACTTACTTGTCTTCTAGTTCTGATTATTTCATTAAGTGGAAACATCATTCTACTAATTGTTCAGGGGGAAAAAACACAATGTAGCAAAGTCAAAAACAAACAAACAAACTTGAGAACCATCTTTAATTTCTTTCTCTTCCTGAATACCTACATCTCATCAATTAGAAAATCCTGATGATGCCCATAATTTGATCATTTTATGTCACCTAGTCCAAACCATCATCATTTCTCACCCAAAATATTGCAAAGGCGTTCTCTTTGGATTTCTTGCATTCAACTATGCCCCACCCATCTGTTCAATGCAAAGAAAACAATAATCCTTGTGAAATGTTCAGTTAGGTCATGTTACACCTCTGCTAAAAACTTCTATGAATGTTTTTCTCCTTCAAAATAAAACATAAGAGTTTATAAGGCCACATTAGCTGGTGGCCCACTACCAGTCTGAACTTACATCCTTCCAATCTTTGCCTTGGTCCATACATTTTACCTTGTTCCCTTCATGGAATACATTGAACTCTGCTTAGAATTCTCTTACAACAGGTGGTTATAAGGCTGGCATCTCTGGCAGTACACTTCTCATAAGCGTTCTTTGTAATTAAATAATCGAAGTGGCGCGTCCTTACATAGCTTCTTTATGAGCATGAACAGTTCCTTAAAATAATATTTTATTTTCCTAAATATCATAATGTTCACAGAGAGTGAGTAAAAGCATTACTGCTAAATTTTATTTTTTTAAAACCCATTAACTATCAAAATAGCTTCACTATTACGATTCATTTATTCAGCTAATAGATATGGATTAATTATCTAAATTCTGCATCTATGCACTTAGTAAGTGGTCTCCATTGAAGAAATAGAACTTCATCAAATACATGTCTCTACCTGTGACCCTTAAAACACACACACACACATACACACACACACACAGTAATATTCTTTTGAAAAATGAAAAGATGTCTATATTTCTTTTGGTCTCAGTGCCCTAGGAAACGTAGCCTCACTTTGAAAGCTGCAATCTAGTGCTCCCTGACTTGTAGCTGGTAGGTTTTGCAGCACAAAAGTCATTTCATTTGAACAAACCTCGGATACTTGGTAGCAGGTGAGAGCTATAATAATCATAAAATTCTATACAGAGCGCACACACTGAGTGTTTTACTGGTCTTTAGAGGTTCACATAATTCTAAACAATGATGAGTCTTTTTATCATCTAGAGATAAGATGAACTCTATCATAAGGTAAGAACTATAAACAGAACCTGTTAAAGGTGAGAATTGTCATCAAGCATCAGCTATTGAAGTGTTGTGAGTTCTCTTGGGCTTTAATCAAGAGACTGTTCAGTATGAACTTTTATTTAGAAGACACTGGATTATCTCCCCATCCCATCTGCATCTCCACAAGCACAACACTCAAATTAATAACTTTTGGTAACTCATGAGGCTCCTGTCAGTAGGATGAATTATGCTTTTGTCATAGCTGAGGAGCCATTTTCACTTTGTCTCATAGAGTCTACCTTTCAACGTCCCTTTCTCAACCAGGTGATGACATCACAGCCTTTACACAACTCACAGATTTTCTTGCATGTACAAAACTCAGAACACTTTTATTTATACTTACCGTTTTATTGCTTCTTCTTGCCTTCGTCGTTTTTCATTCTTTTCCTTCAAGTAGGCCAGGTTTGTTTCATTCCTCAAGCGGTCATTCTCTCGAGCGATGTCCGACGCATTCTGAATAACCAAGCCATCATAGGCCTTCATCCCCATATCCTCAATATACTGGAGAAATGTGTCCAAAGGGTCTTCCTCAGGATTAGAACTCATCATCTTGGAAGATCTCATGTAAAAAGGAACACTCCCTGCAGCATGAGAAGACATGGGGACACACGGTTCTGTTTATTGCCTTTAATATCATATCAGCCCCCAAACTCCAATGATTATGGTAGAATCAATTTGGAGATAATGATTCATTAGAAATTATAAACTATCAGAATATTTGATTATAAATATGAAATTAATGTTGCCTGAGTACCAAACAGTTCCTCAAAGTAACCAACTTAGCAGGAAAAACAACAAAGGTTTTGCACTGAAAGGTAACATAAGGCTGCAAATATAGTGAAGTACCTGAAGATAAACAATTGGTTTATGTAATTAGAGTCATATCTTTCTTTCACAAAAATGTGTTTGCATACCAACAAGACATAGATGAACAAAGCTTCATTTATTTCCGATCACCGTAAAGGCTTTACTGTTCAATTTAAAATAAAATTATATAATTATTTGGAAGAAACATTTTTATCATGTGTGTTTTCCTTACATTTTAAATTAAGTTTACTTGAATCTGAACTATCCAAGAAAAAGATAGAAGTCATCAAAGATATACACATTTCTAATATAATTTGTCTTGGCAACAATTCCTTTTGATGCTCATTATTTTTCAGAATGGTTCTCTATGGAGGCCTGATATGACAACTCACGAGGCCCATGTTAATCCTGACCAGTCTGGAAATCCAAGCAGTGACAACTCTGATTATCATCTCTACATGAAGGTTTAAAAACCTCAGCCACAGAAAGGATTACTGAAAACCAAAATCAAATCAAAACAACAACATAGGACTTTGAACCAATATATATAACGCTTAGTTATAAAATGATAGGAATAAGCTCTCCTACCACGTGCTAATGGGAAGACTAAGAGACATGATGGCTGTAAAGAACTTAGCATGGAGTTAAACAATAGTAAACATGGAATAATGTTAGCTAATTTTATTCTAATAAAAGTGTAGGAGGAAGATTGGCAGCAATAGCAATTTCGAATGTATGTATGAGTATAGATGAATGAGTGGGTGGCTGACCAGCATGCTATGCAAATCATCATGCCTTGAAGATAAGGTATCCAATGAATCACAGAAATCAATAAAGCCAGAGAATGGAGAAATTATGCTTTAATCAATCAAAAACAGAACTTAAGTTTAATTAATTACAGGCAAGGTAAGTATTCTACCTTTCTAGCTTAATAAAGCTTAATGTCCTCAATTGCATAGTCATTGTAGTATAGGAAATTGGTGTCATTGAGTCAGATTAGAAAATCTAAAGCAAAAATCAATTAACAGGGGGGAAAGTTGGCTATTTAAAAATTATATGTTATCTTTACATCTTTTTACTTTCTTCAAAAGGCTACAAAATATTTGTAAAACATTAGCCCAACTATCCAATGCTGAAGTCATAGACTTTTATTTCTGCCATTACAAATCATTTTTATTCTGATTTTTTTAGGAGTATAATCATGTTCCATAACCTGGATTGTAGCTATGGAAACTTCGCTTCTTATCACAGTTTATTAGAATTTTAGCTGCCAGTCAATCCATATGTTATTTGAAACTTACATTGAATTTAATGATATAGTCTCTAATTTCTATGAAGTTGTTGAATCTAGAGAATAGAAGAGCTATTGGTTGATTCATGATTTTTTATGTTAAGTTTTACTATGTTTGATTTGGTTTTAAGCCATAATGGGCTGGCAAATAAAATGGTCTTTTAATTCCAACTATCTAACATAATTGTATTTTAATATCAGTCCATCAGATTAGATGCTTAAATGGTGGACACACAGAATAATAGAAAATTACTGCTACAAATGATTGCAATTTTCAGGGAAAAATACAAGAACATGTTTCTCAGGGAGTTAAAGCATAGCCATTATTGAAAATTCACTTCTACCAAGGACTTCAGCACTGGTGTGCCTGGATAAAAAAAGGTATGCATAACATTATGGAATTAATTCTACCATAGTTAAGCAAACCAAGTGAGTATTACAAGAATGCTATAGATAATGCCCTCAGGGTAGAAGATGATCACTCCCAAGCTGCCCTCGAACAGAATTATATATTTCTCATTGTGTAAGGAATTATCCAGAGCTTTTTATTTCTTCCCTTAAATTTTCTTCACAATGCCAATGACAGCAGCGATTCTTCATACAGATTATATATACTACACATCAACAGGGTTAATTGTGTACCTCTGAAAATTAGCTATCTTCCTAAGTGGCCTTGCAAATTGGCTGGAGTTTAAATTATGTTTATCCTGAGAAAATATTACATAATAGTAGCATGAAATATTTATACTATGGAAAGTTGTATTATAAGATTTTTTTAATTGAGAAGAACATTTGGGGGATGAAAATCAAACATAAAACCTAGTAAAACTTCAGAGTAATGAAAATTGAATCAATGTTTGTGAGAAGGCATACATCATCTAGTTCTAGAGAAGTATTTGATTCTACGATACTTTCTTTATTCAAGTATGTGCTGAACACCTGTTGTGAATCAACCACTGATAAAGGCAGAATTGTCTTCCGCTGTACTTTCACACTACAGTATGGGGACTCAATGAATGAACAATTTCAATACAGTGGGACACGGGCACCAATTCAGGTGGCAGAGCTGATATTTACTAGTCTGTCATGGTGTATGGCCACTATTTTTGAGAACGCACAACAAAAACCTTTTCAACAATTACATCTAGTGTTCAAAAATAAAAATTAAGATTAAAAATGAATTTGGACCCTACCAATGTTTAAGCATCACGATCACCCTTTTCTTCTTCCTTCTCTGCATGTAAAACCTAGTTGGAATGGAAGCAGGGTGGGCAGTGAGGCAGGCCTGAAGAGCAGTGCTGAAAAGTTGAGCAGCATGACCTGAAAATACCAACTAGACTACCTCTAGATCTCCGACTTAGTGCAAGTTAATTCACCTCTTTAAGCTTTAGTTTCCAAGTTTTGTAAATTGTGGAGGAATAACACTTACCTCCTTACATTATTGTGTGGATTCAGTTAAAAAATGCATGTAAGTGTTCAAGAAATGTGACCATAATTATTAGATATTTTTTACAATTCTTAACCAAAATTGTGTTTAGTAATAAACACAATAAACATATTTTTACTTTGAAACTTTAGTCAATAGAATGTTTAGTGCAGTTCAACTGTCTTAGTTACAGGTATACATATGGAGGCTGTAAAAGGCCTTAGCTGATTTGCTCACTAACCAAATACATGTGGACAGACCACTTATCCATTCTGCCCCATATTCCACGTCAAGAAAATAAGAATCTGGGGGCACTTGAACCACAAAACTCATCCCCTCTTTCAAACATTTAGCTTCCACCTTTTCAAGTTAAAAGGTGTTTCTCGTGTCTTTGAACTCTGAATGAGCAGGTTCATGGCTTCACTAAAGAAAAGTGAACCATACGTTAAGTATCTACCTCATTACAACTGCTACAATTTCCCTGAAATGAGAACCCAACAGACAAGTAGGGTCATAAATCTGTTTATCTTTCAAAAAGTTATATTTATGGCAAGATGGATATTAAATAAGGTATGTTGTCTTTACCACTAAAAACTTGGCTGCATTTTGACTGTCGGATATTAAATCAAGTTTATTTCTGGCTTTTGAATGAAAATCCTATGTACAAGTATTTTATGAAGGTGTGACTTGGGCATCTAATTCCTAAAGTCAGCAACTTAGAAAACTATACTTAAAAAGCAAATGGACCCCTTTCTTCAGATAGCATCTTCAGATATAGCACAATTAGTCAGTCAATCAATCAATCAATCAATCAATCTACCATACTAGACCTCAAATTATTTCATGGGATATTTTTGACAACAGAGTGGGCAAAATTCAATGAAATGGCTTGAGTTTCTATATTCAGCCCTTTTATTTGAACTAGTACATGTCTGCAGCCAATTCTGCTCACAACAAATTAGACATTTTAGCACCCCCTAGAGTACTGGTTGAAAGCTGACATCTGTAGTCATCATCCACAGGGCACAGATGTTTTCTTTGGAATGTACAACATTGATTCAAATAGTGTAAGATTTTTTGTGTGTTATTTTTTTTTGAAGTTGTGGCCAATATTTAAAATTAGTGTCAGGGACTCTCCTGGGAAAGCACCTAAAATGACAAAGATCAGAATTCCCATACAAATCACAGATAACTTCACATCTTCACTTTACTCTTTTTTCCAGTTATAGTCTGCATTTGTAAGATTCCTCTCATTTAATTTCTGAATTACTGTATTTAGAATCACTGCCATTCTTATAAAAGCTACAGATGTGGGCTTAAGCACTACAGGCTCAGTTTTATTTTATTTTATTATTTCACGTATGTATTTATATCCTGCTGACCACACCCTTCCTAAACAAAACTTTGTATGATATCGTGACACTTTCCAAAATTTGAAATGTCATTCTACTCAGCTAAGATATATCAGTTTACACTGGCTGGACTAAGGTTATATTAAAAACACTAAACATTTTACTTTTTAATTGAATTAACCATTTCTTTTTCTTTTTGTGTAAAACCATCACTATACCTTTCAATGCTGAGCTGAGAGCTGTAATCAAACTATCTAGAACATATACATGTTGAACATAAAATAAACATAAGGATATCTAAATGGAACCTATGGAAACATAAAATATCAGTTATTTTATTCTCTTTCTGTAGCCACTATCTGCATCCAAGGAACTCAAGAAGCTAAGACACTACATGATTTTGAGCATTAAAGAAAAAAAATAGGAGCACATTTTTAAAAAATCAGTGCATGCAAAAACTTAAAGATCATGCATGTATATGGGTTTTTCCTTTGTAGATTAAGGAATCACTTTTTTGTGGCCTCAACTTACCAAAACATATTTAATGTGGCACTAACTGATGTCAAGATTGGCTTCCTCATAGTGCAGAAGATGTTTTACTAATTACAGGCTTTTGTTGAAGATGTGCAAAAGGGTCAAATAAATATTAAGATTTTAAAATATTTTTCTCCTAAAATTCAGAACCAATTTCTCTGTCAGTGTAATTTTATGTATTGTGAGATCAGCCACTCTTGCTCCATAAGTACAGGCTTCTCTAAGGCTGTGTACACTCACTTCACAGAGTGTGTACACCACCATTCACCACCATTTACCAAAAGCAGGCTCCTAGTACATCAGTATCATCTGTGAATTGGTCCACTGATCCCCATGGGTGCTGGTTCTTTTTTTCTTCTTAAAGTGTTTACTTGGAATTTCTGAATTTGAGTGGCTCTCTGTCTAAAACTTTGGTTTTCCAAGACAATAAGTTATAAAATCTCCATTAATCCAGTCATGTTTCACATCCACTAAATGGTAGAGGGAGAGAAACCACTTGTTTTGGGAGAGAACTGCTCTCCAATTCTTTGAGTTCTATGAAAAGCTTCTTAATTTTAAGGGCACAAAGGACCCTATAAGTTAATATGATAGCTAAAATAAGGTGAAGTTTATTTTGTGCCTTTATTATAATGCTATTATGTTTTATTACAAAAACAAGATACATACAGGGAATAAATTTCCTGGTAGGAAAGCCTAGACATTTTACTTCCATTTCACATTTATGTGTTGTATTTTATTTGCACAAGATAAAGTTTTCTGGTCTCCACCTCTTAGTTATTTCTGAAGTTTCCAAACCACACCTGTCTCAATGCTGTGAAGAAGTTATTACAATTTGAGTTATTAAAATTTGATTTTCCCTCCCACTCCAATAACTGAATCTTCTTTGAGATAAAGAATCCTACTTTGGCCTATAGTGCAAATTCATCCAAATAAAAGTTTTCCCAGGCAATTTTTAATGTATCTTTTGTTCATTAGGAGATAAAGACCTTTACAATTTTTTGCATGTACTCAAACCAAGTTAAAAACACATTGTGAAAATATTATAAGTTTTTAAATAATCAGGATACATATACATATGTAAATATGTATGCAAATGAATTTCTAAAATTTGCTGACTTCACATAAAACAAAATCAACCAACTAGATTGCTTGCTTATAATCTATAACCATGTAAACCATGTCAAAATTGTTTTTCTGCTCAAATCTTATAACCTGTCAAAATTATGTCCTGTAATTTCACTTTGACTGTGCTTGAAATCCTACCCTCAACCCCACAAACTGCCACACTCATTTTCTCATTCTCACTGTCATCAAAATGCAGCTGTTCTGCCCACAATGGGAAATATTAGAGTTAAAACCAAGAGAGCTTGTGGAAGTAACTACAAAAACACTGATTGCTTTTTTCTCAGAAAGCAGATTCTTTGTAGTGAGTTTTTCACCACTGTCTCCCTTCCTAAAATGGGTAAAATGAGCATAGATGACGTTAATGCAGGAACATCATAAATTGGAAATTCCTTCAGGTTGTCATGGTGCAACTTGCCCATCGTTTAAAGATTGCCCATTACCAGGAATAGTAAGGATTCCTGTGAAATGTCAATGGCCGAGGCACTTTGTGGAGACTTCAGCCAACAGTTTCCAGATGCATGCAAGGCAGTATTTGCTAAGTAGATATAGTCAGTATAATAAATTGCTGACTGGAGCTACAATGCACATCATCTAATTGAATTGGGAACCTATGACTAATTTCTTATTTCGAACAATAGCCAGTCTCCTGGTGTATAGGATTTCTACATATCCCCCTCTAAACTTTGCAGAGGTTTCAAGTCCTTGGGCTTCTCTATAGTTCCTTGTGAAGTTGTAATATTTCTCTCAGGTCTGTTTTCATTAATTTTCAGAAGTGTCAATTTCCTTCACGGAGTTCCCTTCTTTTCTGAGTTGGCAAACATATGTTGCACTTTCCATAGAAAAATACAATAATTTCAGCTCGCATGTTCTCATATTAATTTGCTTACTACTTGGCAATATAGAAGCAAACTGCAGCATTGTTTTAAATGTGAAGAATTAGGAAAGGAGTTGATTTTCACTCTTGTCCTACAGTTACTATTCCACTCCACTTGGTCATTAATTTTTGCATCTTAAAGGGACCAAAACTACATCGTGTAAACTCTCCAATTGGATTTCCTTATTCCTTGCCTATATTTAGAAAGAAAAATCCAGTTCTTTGTTAGCAAAGCAACTTTAAATGTTTCTCAAAAACATTTATGTCTAGTCAGTTAGGAAAAAGCAGTTTCAGCTTTAATGTATGTCTAATAGTTTCTCTAATTTTTACTCGGTACAGTGTCTTTTTGAGAAAATACATTTGGGCTGACACAAATATGCCAAGAGACTGTTGTAAAATATTTATGATAAGGAATAGCAGATAAATAGCCAGCATGCACACGTGAATGTCAATTAATACCCTTGAAAATATTTTCCATGCTTTTAATAATTCAACATGGCTTATTTTACTAATGAATTTCTAGTTTAACCATTTCTGTGGTCATGTAACTAAGTGGGCAAGAGGGTACAAAATAGCCTCTGGCTCATTAAAGCCCCGAATGCCTTTTCTGTGGCTTTATTTCTGCTCCACCTCATAAGACATGCAAACTTCAGCATTAAGTATCCCCAGCTAAAATCCATCCCATTTCATAACCAGATTGCGTGGTGTACTTAGTGCTGGATTCAATTAGCATGCTTAGAGAATCTGAAAAATGAGATACATACCAAAATGTAAGTCCCCAGGGAGAGTTAAGTGCAACAATCAGTAGGTGACTTGTGTCTGTCAGAGCCCTCTTGCACGGTGGATGTCAGGGCAGCTCTGGAGGAGTAATCCAGCACCATAGGAAACAGACTTGTAGTTCAGCTCAGTTTTTCTTCATTTAAAGTGCATTGTATCTGGATGGGGAAAGTGTCCACTCCCAGATTCTTCATCACTAGAGATCAGAGCATTCTTGAGGTTCTTCCTATCAGATAAAAATGGTCTTCAAAGTTTTCTAGGAAGGTATGGTGGCAGAATACAGGTGTTTGCTTCCTTAAATCGACATTCAGAGAAAAGAGGGCATAGCTAATGGGTGGGGATGAACACACAGCCCCTCTCCTTCCAGGTCCAGCAGGGAAGAAATTGAATGATTTTACCCACTTTGCTACACAGATGATTACAAGACTCGAAGCAATCACCCAGGCTGGCTAAGGTGTCTCATTTGATTATATTCTGTGAAGACAAAAATAAATAAAAACAAAAAATCAGCCACATCCTCTCTAAATGTCTCCTTTCAGCCAAAAAGATGCTCTTTCTCATTGCCACTTACATACAGAAGGTTTGGAGCAGCCTAGCTTGTGGCATGGTCCCTCCCCCGTGACAACCAGCTCTCATTCTCTCTCTTCCCTCCCCC